CAAGAACTTAGAATAAAAATTGAGATACTTATGCCTATAACACCTTCAGGGAATGCACTTTCTCCCTCTGTTCACCCATTCAAGCCGAGCTTACCCTGCTTCACTGTGTTAGATTCCTCTAACACAAGCGCCCAGAACGTTCTGCCCCTTTCCTTCGGGCACTCACCGTAGTCTGTCATTACGTAATTGCTCATTAGTAGTTTAATATTTGACTCCCATACCAGGATGTAAACTCTATTAGTGTAAGAAGCATTTGTGTTTTGGTTTCTCATTGTGGCTTGAATGCCTAGAATGTGCCTTGCACAAAAAAGGGGCTCATTAAACATCCACTTCAGTTCACTACTAATGCCATCAGTCAGTGTTGTGATCTTGGAAGCATTTGCTGGCTTCTACCCCAAACCTTGCTGTCCACATTGCCTTGCTAATCTGGATACGGATGCCTTCTCCATTCAACAGCTGTGAGCGTGCCCATATCGGTCTGCTGATCTACCCCTGTGTATTCCTAGCAAAGGTGCATTTATTAGGAATGCACCATGCCCCAGCACTGTGCTAGACACTTTCTATATATGTTTCTCACAATGGCCCTTGAGGAATGTTCTCCCCATTTTACGTGCGAGGAGACGAAGGTTTAGAGAGGGGGTAATTCTTCTATTAGGGTCATGGAACTTGCAAGAGACAGAACCATGGTGGTGCCTGATGCATAAACTTTCAATTATACATTTTATTAGTTAGAATTGGCTTAGGCTGCACATGACCAAAAAAGGGCAATAATAGTGGCTTGAGCAAGACAGAAAATTATGTCTGCCTCATGTGAAAGACCACAGGGAAGCGGTCCACGGTTAGCACAGCTCGATTATCAGGGACTTGGACTTGTGTTGCTTTGCTCACCTGGCCTGTGATTTCCACCTTCAAGAATAAATGAACCCCTGCACCCGAGTTGTCCCCATTCCTGTTTGGATGTCAGGAAGGAGCAAGAGGTAAAAAGCGGGTGCCCCCAGCCTTTAAAGGGAAGTCACAGCTGCCACTGCTGTTTCTGTCTCAGGGGCTAGAGTGGAGGAGTCACACAACCACACCTCACGGCAAAGGAGGCTGGGACATGAAGGCTAGGATTTTTGTCACCTTCGGGCTCAACTTTTAAAAGTGCCTTTCACAAGTAGGGAACAAAGAATGGATACTGGGGGAAATAATCAGCATCTGCTAAATACATGCTTAGCAATTTCTATTCCTGACTTGCAAGGTTATCTCTAATCTCATTTCTTTCAACAGCAACTTCTACTTTCCCATTTCTCAGACCTCATTTCATTTCAGACCTCTGCCACAATGGGGTCATTCACCTCTGTGTCTGCCAGACCAAATCAGCTCATTTTCAGCATAACTCTCTGGGCTTTCTCCTCTCCGTGGGAAGGGTTCCTGCCAACCCACACATATCCCACCCACATCTTACCAACTTGCTTACCTCCCTCCTTCTCCATTGTCACAGGGTGAAGCTCACTCGCTTGCTTCTTTAAAAATTTATTTATTTAAAAGGCAGAGAGGTAGGGAGAGGGAGAGAGAAAAGATCTCCAATCTGTTGGTTCATGCCCCAAATGCCTGCAATAGTCAGGCTCAAGCCAGGAGCCAAGAATTCCGTCCAGGTCTCCCATGGGGATGGCAGGAACTCATACTTGAGCCATCATACACTTCTCCACAGGCACGTTAATAGGGAGCTGCATGGGAAGCAGAGTGGCTGGGACTAGAACTGGAGCTCCTATGTGTGGTTGATGGACTCAAACCAGTGCTCTGATACATGATATGGGTTTCCCAAGGTGCAGCTTAACTCTCTGAGCCACGATGCTGGCCCCAGAAGGATGCTTTTTTCAGTGGGCCTTAATTCAGACCCACTGAAATACAACCTCTCTGATGGGGCCTCAGAATCAGCATTTTAACAAGCTCCTCAAGAGATTTGCATATATACTAAACTCTAAGTTTAAAAAGAACCTAGGAGCCAGCGTTGTGGTATAGCAGGTTAAGCTGCTGTCTGCAATGCTGACACCCCATGTGGATGCTGGTTTGAGTTCTGGCTGTTCCACTTCCAATCCAGTTCCCTGGTGATGCGCCTGGGAAGGCAGCAGATGGCCCAAGTGCTTGGGCTCCTGAACCTACATGGGAGACCAGGATGGAGTTCCAGACTCCCGGCTTTGGCCTGGCCCAACCCCAACTGTTGCAGCCATCTGGGGTGTGAACAAGCAGACAGAATCTCTCTCTCCCTCCCCGCCTCTGTAATCCTGCCTTTCAGATAAATCTGTTAAGAAATTAAAAAAACAAAAAACAAAAAAGAACCACAGGGGTAGGTCTTGTGGTAGCAGGTTACGCTGCTGCTTGAGTCCCTGATCCATACTGGGAGTGCCTGGCCTTTAGTCCCATCCCAGCTTCCCATAGAGCTCCCTGCTAATGCACACTCTGGGGGGCAGCAGACGATGGCTCACATGTACTTGGGTCCCTGCCACTAACGTGGAAGACCCGAATGGACTTCTGGGGTCCTGTTTTTGCCTTGGTTCTCTCTCTCTCTCTCTCTTTCTCTGTGTGTGTGTTCTGCCTTTCAAATTAATAAACAAGTGAAAAAAGAGATAATGACTAGCTATTTAAAAAAGTAGCAAAACCCCAGGTGATTCCTATGAGTAGGCATGTTTAAAAACCAATTGAATAGAATAGGTAGCTTTTTGGAAGAGCGTCATTCAGTTCAGCATAACATTGAATAAGTAAAACTACTAAAACAATATGAGAACTTAAACTATGTATTAACATAACTTGAATTGTTCTAAACTTTAAAAAATCCCATAAATCAAGAGCTAGCATTTTAGCATCACTCTTTTAACCATAGTATGTTTAAGTCACAGCACTTAAGGCAGGAGTTGGTCTAGGACAGCAGACTCATGTGGGGATTGAAGTCTATATGGTTACCAGTAACTGATTCCAATTAATTTAGATCTCCAATTTAGTTTATGGGTTGAAGAGAAAGTTTAAGGAAAACAGAGGATTCATTTTGCTTTTGTTTTTAAAATCTATGTATTCATTTAATTTACTTGAAAGACAGAGACAGGCAGAGAGAGAGAGAGACAGACAGACAGACAGACAGACAGAGATCTTCTAACCACGGTTTACTCCCCAGATGCTTGAAACAGCCAGGATTGCTCCAGGCCAAATCCAGGAGCTGGGAACTTATTCCAGGTCTCCCATGTAGGTAGCAGGAATCCAAGTACTTGGGACATCAGCTGTGGCTTCCAAGGATGCACAATAGCAGGAAGCTGGAAGTGGAAGTGGAGATGAGAACCAGGGCACTCTAATATGGGTTGCAGGTATCCCAAGGGGCATCAAATTCTCATCCCAAAACAAAGGGTTTTAAAGCATGTTTTACAACATGTTTCTTGAAGACATTTCAAGAGAAAATCATTTGTAAAGAAATTCTCTTTCCTTACCTTTTTTCTTACTTCTCTCAACCAATAAATACCTGCCTACTCCATGAGGGTATTGTTTGCATCCAACAAGACAGTGTGTGCGTGTGTGAGTGAATGAAAGAGCACTGTTGATTGCTGAGTGCTGAAGAAAGGAAGGTGACACGACTTTCATTACTACAGAGTCTCAACCAACCAGTTCTGTCTCCCAAGTGATAAATTAATCTTAAACCCCATTGGAGTAGGAGCACAGCAAAGAGTTCTGCTCAAACTCCTAATGATTTAAGTTGATGAGAACCACAGAAAGACAAGCTGCACAGGTAAGGACAGGTAACATGCTGCAGAGAAAACACCATTATCCTCTTTGAATGGTTTGCTAAACTTGACGGATCACATCCTGGGGAAGGGGGCAGGAAACCTGGGCTTCTGTAGAATCATCTAAAGGATTGCACGGAGGACCAGGAGGCAGGGGACCACATAGAATCACATCCATTTTCCAGAACTCAGGAGTTTCCCAGGATGTGAGACTTCCAGTTCTCAAATAGTGAACATACTGGGTAAACCAAGATGAGTCAGTCACCTTAAGGTCACATCAACTCTGGGGCCAATGCTGCAGCATAGGTGCCGGTATCCCATATGGGTGCCGGTTGGAGTCCTGGCTGCTCCACTTCTGATCCAGCTCCCTGCTAATGTGCCTGGGAAAGCAGCAGAGGATGGCTCAAGTACTTGGGCCCCTGCACCAATGTGGGAGACCCTAAAGAATCTCCTGGTTCCTGGCTTCAGATTGGCCCGTTGTGACCATTTGGGGAGTGAACCAGTGGATGGAAGAGCTCTCTCTTTCTCAATCTCTAACTCTGCCTTTCAAATAAATAAATAAATCTTTTAAAGAAGACCACATCGCCTCAATCTCTAATACAGCCTATGATGAACAAGCCACACAATTTCTTTATACCTTGTTTTCCCCATACATAAGTGGAATCCTGCAACCTTTGCTACAGGAGAATTCCTCTCTCTCATCAAATATCACTAAATGCCACCACCCCAACACCAGAACAAAGATGTTCTAACATTGCTTTTTTTTTTTTTCAAATTTGTGAGAAGACCCGGAAACATAAGGTTTTGTGAGATAAGAGATCCAGAAGTCAGGAGCTGGTTGTCAATTGCAGGACTTGGAGTTATGCAAGAAAGCTGCAGATTCATTGGTTTTCTGTGGATGAAAGTGAGGGCAGAGGACAGAGGGTAGAAGCCAGTTCAAAGCAGCTCATCATTATCATGTTTCCAGAAAGAAGTCCTGGGAAGTTCTGTGGACAGAGTCCAGGGACATTGCCACGCTGGAATTCAGGTGACTGTGAGGAGAGCAGTTTTGGCTGGAAACTGATGGGAACTCAAGGCCTTGAGAAGACTGAGCTTCCCAAGGGCTAGAGACACTAAGACAGATTTGGCTTAAAACCAGCAGCTGGAGCGTGGAAGGACAGGGTGGTTGAAAGGATCAGGCCATTGAGGAAGCAGCAGATAAAGAGGTAAGATGGGAACTTAGAACTAGGGAACCGTGCACGTGGAGCTTCTCAAATGTGTGTGGTAGTACCGAGATCTTCTTGAGCTGCAGGTTCAAAGGTGAGCAGTTAATTGCGGTTCTACGCTACAACAGCTTGTTGCTGGAATGTGTGACAGTGAAGACCTAAGTCTAGTGTGGTGTTCTCTATAAAAGTAGTCGTTACTCAGAGACAACTCTGAAGTCCTGGACAAAGAGACAGGCTTCAGTTGGTAGTTAAGATGGTCAGGAAGAAAGCATGAAGGTGTTCCAGGTAGGAGGAATCAACCAAGAGAAGTTATAGGAATGTGCTTGTTTAAAACTAGAGGAGGCAATGAGAATTGAACATCGAGAATTTGACAATGTTTTCCACTTCATGTTGCTCGTTGAAAACGGTACCAGCAGTATGATGTAATCAGAGGCTGCTAGCTTGCTGCCTAGCAGTGCTAGGCTCAACCACCTAAGCCTCACTGAAGCGTATGGCCCGTTGATTGGTAAGTTCTAGAATAATGAGTGAAGAATCCAGTAGAGAAGATCCTAGAGTAAGCCAGATAGAGACATCAGACTTGCTTAGGTAGACATAGAAACGCAATGTCAAAACTTAAGACATCAAAACAAAAAGTTACATACTATGACCACATTATCTGAGATGGGAATAGGTAATAGCTTAAGGGAGGAGGAACTTTAATAATAAAAGGGATATTTGTGTAGTTGGTGATTCAGCTGAGGCGGGTCTAGTCACTGAACATTACTAAAACAATCATTTTGAAAAGGTGGAAATAAATTAGTAAATGAAGTATTAGCAATGTTATTTCTTTGGCCATGGTTTGAATGATAATGATGATGTCATTGTTCAAATTATCCTAGTGTTTAAAAAGTGAAAAGCAGGGGCCAGAGCTGTGGCTCAGCAGGTATAGCCCACCCCCAACCTGACTGCTGTGCTGGCATCCCATATGGATGCTGGTTCGAGTCCTGCTTCTCCACTTCCAATCCAGCTCTTTGCTGTGGCCTGAGAAAGCGGTAGAGGGTGGCCCAAGTCCTTGGTCCCCTGCACTGGCATGGGAGACCTGGAAGAAGCTCCTGGCTCCTGGTTTCGGATTAGCAAAGCTCTGACCATTGTAGTTATCTGGGAAGTGAACCAGCGGATGGAAGACCTCTCTCTCTCTGACTCTGCCTCTCTGTAACTCTGCTTTCAAATAAATAAATAATAAAAAAGTGAAAAGCAATCAGAGTAAAGAAAACAAACACTGCATCCAAAAGTATGTTTCCTATCACATATGAGGCACTAAGCTAGATGCTGGGAAAACAATAATGAAAAAGTAGATGGTATGAAAGCCCCAGTCTCTCTCCACAGAGTGCCTGGATCTAAAACATACAGGCTTGTCAGAGTGCATAAGCACTCCAACAGAAGCCTAGGCCCAGAGGAAGACACAGCAAGTCCTAAAGAAGAGGTAGGAGTGGAAGTACAGACCCTCTCATATTTCAGCTGGACCTGAGATCAGACAGACACAGAAGGGAAACCCATGAGCCAAAGGCCCCCATGAGCTTGCACGTGCAAAGCCGTGTAACACATCCTCTTTCCAGATGGTAAGTACTCTAAGTGTGGCTCATGCAACATGGCGAGGGGTCAGCAGTAGAGGAGGGGAGAGGAGGCAGCAACAGGGCTGCGGCTGGACACGAGGAGCATCCTCTGAATCTTCCCGTCCCTCCTGGTGGGGAAGAGCTTCTCTGCTCGTGGTTGCTGGAGCCAGCCGTCTGCAGCTCTGTAGCCCGGCATCTGGAAACGGAGTCTCTTCTCTGCCTCTGAGACACCCAGGACAAACGGCTTCATCTCTCCATTTGTAAAAGGTGAGCAAACAATGATGTAGTCCTTACAAAGTCATGCACATAAAACTCTGAGAACATGTCTTGAAATATTGAAAATGATCCATAAGTACCCGTGATTGTTAGTATTTTGACATAATCAACAACATGTTATTACTTTGTTTCTTGGGTTAGAAAAGTACTATTTGAGATCTGAGCTTGTCTTTTTTATGTGACTTTGTAGGTTCTGTGAGTGGAGGAACATGCTGAAATATTCTTCTAAATATCTCACAAGTATATTTATCCACTGCAGTACTGAGACTCCACCAGCAGAAGTGTGCAAAGGCTTTGGGATTTTAAGAATTCCTTTATGAAACGTTAACACTTTAGGAAGTGAGAACACCATTTATAGCCATAAGCACGTCTGCATGGATTAGTTTTACTAATACCAGAGAGGCCGGCACCGCGGCTCACTAGGCTAATCCTCCACCTGTGGCGCTGGCACACCAGGTTCTAGTTCCGGTCGGGGCGCCGGATTCTGTCCCGGTTGCCCCTCTTCCAGTCCAGCTCTCTGCTGTGGCCCGGGAGTGCAGTGGAGGATGGCCCAAGTGCTTGGGCCCTGCACCCGCATGGGAAACCAGGAGGAAGCACCTGGCTCCTGGCTTCGGATCAGCGTGGTGAGCCGGCGCCGGCCTCAGCGGCCATTGGAGGGTGAACCAATGGCAAAAGGAAGACCTTTCTCTCTGTCTCTCTCTCTCTCTCACTGTCCACTCTGCCTGTCAAAAAAAAAAAAAAAAAAAATACTAGGCTAGAGAGATAGAGCTAAGCCAAAGAAATGCAATAGTGGACGTGTGAGAAAGAAGATCCTAACCGTTAGTGTTGTCTGTCGAGGATGGGAAAAGGAGCCTTAAGGCCCTTTAGCAACAGGGCTTATTTTATTTTATCTTAAATATTTACTTATTTTTATTTGAAAGGCAGAGTGACACACAAAGAGAGGGAGAGGGAGAGACAGAGGCCTCAGCGAGAGAGAGAGAGAGAGAGAGAGAGAGAGAGAGAGAGAGAGAACAGTCTCCCATCCACTGGTTTATGCCCCAAATGCCCCCAACAACTGTGGCTAAGCCAGGCTGAAGTCAGGAACCAGGAACTCCATTTTGGTTTCCCATGTAGGTGGCAGGACTCCAAGTACTTGGGCCATCATCTGCTGTCTCCCAGGTGCATAGGCAGCAAGCCGATCTGAAGCATGCAGTAGCCAACACTCTAATATGGGATGTTGTCCCAGCTGTGGTTTAACCAGCTCATCACAACGCCATCCTTCCCCTGCTCTGAAATAATTTTAGTTTTAAAAGGGAAAAGGAAAATGAGCTGAACTGGAGAGGCACATGGAGAGGATGGGCTTATTTACCCTATAATATTGTTTAGGGCCAATTCTGTTAAGAAAAGTTGCTAAATGCCTTAAAGAAAGTTGCAGTCAAGTTTTTGATGATTTGACTGACCTTGTCTAAAAAAATTTTAAGGTTATAAGCCTAGTACATTTTATGTAAAATGGTTACTTATATGAATATAGAAGAAAACATCCATATATACGTATTTCTCCCTTTTGTTTGAAGCTAAGCTAACAAAGGCCTTGCTCTACTGGGCTGCTGATTCCTAGCTTGGCCCTGTTTCCCAGGGACAGGGGGCTGGGGATGGGCCTGTGCCAAGTCATTGCACATCTGCAATGCTGCTGGTGGGGTTTCCCCTCGAGAGGAAATAGTTCATTGGAGCCTTAGTGCAGAAACCAGCCCAGGTAGGTGAAATGTTTTTATAATTGCCACTAGGAAAAGGAGAGGGCCCAAGGGGTATGTTCCTGCCCATGGGAGCCCCTCCCTGGTTATAACCTAATTTGTTGTATGTATGTGGACCAGATGGGTGGAATTAAGCCTTCTGAGGTGTTGCGGTTAGAATGTCGGTGACTCCAGGAAATGCGAGAATTCCTGTTTCCCTTTCAAAGGATCATCTCTCTTGCGGTTCCAATACAGACTTTCAAAACAGAAACTGTAACACCTGTGGCTATAGGCTAGGGTCTGTTTGTTTCCCAATTTCTCCCAGTTGGGGCGTGCAAGAAGCCTGTGAGATTACTGACTTCATTTTTGTGTTTCGGTAACGGTGGCTCACAAGTAGGATAGGAGGCTAGAAGCTAAGTAGTCATTGAAGAAAGTCCTCGCTTTCTTCAGATCTGTTCGCCCAAAGAGCTAGTGGTTCTAGCCTCCATCTGTCTGCCTGTCGTGCTTATGTCAGAGAAGGGTCACAGGAGCGTGTGTAAGTGACTTAAAGACAATAGAGCAAAAAAGTTGTATAAGAGGCAAGAGGAAGGTAACACGTGTAAGGCAAAAGAATATAAAGTGCATAACTCAGCTGGACTTTCAAATACAAGAAATAAATATGAGCGTCCTTTGAAATTGTTCCCTGACGTTCACCCGAATGCAGTCTCATGCTTCATGGGTGCTGAACTCTCTGCAGAAACTGAGTGTGCTGCTGAGGTCAGAAAGCCAATTCCCCCTACACCCTTGGCACGAAGCGAGGGCATATCTACCCCTGGAACATGATGTATTGTACTGTTTGCTGAGCCTCAAGAAAAGTCTAATGAGGTTGGAGTCAAGAGAATAACTGAAATGATCAGACAGATTAGGGCTTCCATGTCCCTCTACGAAGAGCTACTAAAATGGCAGAATTTTGCAGTGTAAAGAGTAGGATGATGTTATGGCTGAATGGTGTGTCCCCAAAAGTCGCATCTCAAAGCCCAGGCAGAGTTAGACAGAGAGAGACAGAGACAGAGACAGAGAGAAAAGTCTTCCTTTTTCCGTTGGTTCACTCCCCAAGTGGCCACTACAGCCAGCGCATTATGCCGATCCGAAGCCAGGAGCCAGGTGCTTCCTCCTGGTCTCCCATGCCGGTGCAGGACCCAAGCACTTGGGCCATCCTCCACTGCCCTCCCGGGCCACAGCAGAGAGCTGGACAGGAAGAGGAGCAACTGGGACAGAATCCATTGCCCCAACCGGGACTAGAACCCGGGGTGCCGGCGCTGCAGGTGGAGGATTAGCCTAGTGAGCCACAGTGCCGGCTGAGAGTTTACTCTTGATTCTCAACAGAAATATGGGTCTCACCTCTCTCAGGACTATCACGGTATGGTTTGAACAATAACCTACAGTATACAAATTATTTCTCTCAAGAGACTTATTTAAAGATTATATTACATTAGTACCCAAATTAACAGCAAGAATGCAAGGAATAGAATGAGCATATCTAGTTTTTCTATTGCTATACATCAGTTGAACTTATATGGACATGATTTATGTCTTTTTAAATATTTATGTTACAGTAACAGATATAATATTAATAAGATAGATGATATAAATAAAAAGCTAATACTAAATGGAGAGGAATCTAATAAGTACTTCAAACAGGCTCTGTCCTTTATTACAAGAGTGCTTCAAAAACTCATGGAAAATGGAATTAAAAGATAAGGTGCATTTTCCTCGAACTTTTTGAAGAGTCCTAATATTTCCTCACCACCAAAGGGAAAGGGAACACAACATATTCTTTCAGTAGCATAAGGTGAATTTTCTTCTCTTTCCTTAATCTGTGGACCAAAGAGGAACTAGAGAGAGAGAAAGAAAAAGAAAAAGGGGGCAGGGAGAGAATTTTTTCAAAGTAAGCAGAGTTACGTAGCATTCTGATGAAAAATACTGGTATTACGGTTCCCTAGGGACAAACAAAAGAATGCCCTAACAGGCCTCCCTCGCTCCCCGCCCTACAAATATTATTATTAAGGGGTTCAAGGTTTTCTGAGTTTCTTAAAGCTGAAACGTAAGCCATTTGAGAACGTTCAGTTGGGCAGGCCATTGGGATAGTTCTAGCGTTTCCTTCAAGTGGTCCAGACTTTGAACTAGAATGGACCAGGAGCGCCCAGCACTGCCTGGGAGTTCCCGTGGTCATTGCCTTTGGGGCAGTTATTCGAGGCCAGGCACTTGGTGGAGTTTTCCCCTCCTCGACCAACCAAATTTGGGTCTCTCCGTGCAGAACCGGATTCCCAGTGGCTGGGCGGTGCTGGATGGGAAATGGGAATTGCCACTGATGTTCCGGGTGCTTTCCAGAAATAAGAGCTCTGGCGCTTGAAAGAACTGATTTAAAACTCGAGCCCTTAGTACTCCAGGGAGGTTCAGCAGAAAAGCCATCAGCGCACCTGGGCTTCATTAGGAACGAAGGGAGGACATTTCAGCCTTCCGGGGGACTGCTTCCCAGTTTGGGCAGAGAAGGAGTCTTAACAATGAAAAGCGACCGTTTTGGCTGAAAGGGGCTCTCCGTTCGCACCGAGCGCTCCTCACGTGGTGTAAGGGCGGCTGTTCATTCCTAAACCCTTCCGAGAGGCCCTGTTCCTCGGTTCTGGCCTCAGCTGGACCCGGGCCTAGCGGCCGAGCAGCCCCCTGGCCCGTGACCCGCAGGCCCGCGGGGTCCCGGCGCGGGAGGCGGCGGCGGCGGCGGCCGCGCCTTCATTAGAGGGCGCTCTGGGGGCGGCTCCGCCGCAGTCCCGGCTCCCGCCGCTTCCTCCCGCGCCCCTCCCCGCCAGCCAGGGCGAACGCGGCCGGGTCCCGGGGACCGAGTCTCGGCGCCGCCTGGGACCGCGCGCGGGCCGCGCCGCCGCCGCCGGAGCGGGGCCGGAGCCCGCCGCCGCCTCCTTCCGCCGGCCCTGCCGCCGGCCATGCATTCTTCCGGCTCCTCTGGCTCCCGCAGCCCGGGCTGGGGCTGGGCCAGCCCGAGGTAACCCCAGGCTCGGCGGACGCAGGCCCCGGAGCGGCGGTGGAGACGGGCTCTGGGAGGCGCTGGGGGCGGGGAAGGGGTGTCGTCGTCGCGTGGCCCGGGGAGGAGGCGGCGGCGCGGCCTGAGGGACGAGGGCGCGGTAGGCCCCGGGGAGGAGGCGGGGGCGCGGGGCATCCGCCCGCCTCCCCGGGACCCGCCCCGGTGACAGGTCCGGCCTCTGAGTCCCCGCCGTCCCTCTGTCCGCAGGCAGCCGCGAGGGGAGTAGGGCGCCCGCGCGCTCGCTCGCGCCGCGCCTCGGGCCGCTTCGGCCGCCGCCGCGTCCATGACCGCGACCCCTCGGCCGGGGACACCCGCCGCCGCCGCCGCCGCCGCCCCGCCCCGCGCCCCGGGCCGCCGGCCCCCGGTCCCGCTCGCCCCCGCGCTCTGCCGCCGCTCGCCGTCCGTGCCCGCTGAGGTGAGCCCGGAGCGCGGGCCGCGCCCGCCGCCCCGACCCGGTCCACCTTCGCGGAAACCGCTGCTGGCTCCACCCGCCCCGAGGCTGCTGTCGCCTCTTCTCCCCTGCTGCGTCCATCATCCCTCGCTTCCCGGTCTGGCCGGAGATCTCCTTCCCTTCATCCCTGGCCCCTCTGCCTTCTCCTCCGCGGGCTCTTGCTCCCCTCCCCCTACTCCTGTCCGTTCTCGTTTTCGCCGTATTTTCCCCACTTTCCCCTCCTCCCCTCTTATGCTCTCTTGCTAGCTCCCCCACTTCTTCTTTTTTTTAAAAAAGGAGCCCAAACCCCAATTGCTGCACCTGAGAATTTCGAGCTAACTCCTCGCTGGTGCGCGCGCCAGACCTTTTAAAAGGAATGAATCACTGTGCAGGAAGGGTGGCGGTGAGGAGACCCAGGGAATCCCACCGAGAGGTTCCTGTAGCGGACGTTTCCCGCGTGTCACCCGTGTCGCCGGTTCGGACACACTGAGGGTGCCCGAAGCAAGCGGGTCCGTGTTTCTTTCCTCCTCCAAGTCCACCTGGACGACCGCGGGGAGACGCGGCACGAGCACGGCGACCGCGCCGCGAGGGGCAACTGGCTTATTTGCTAACTATATTGTGACATACCCGCGCCTGGCCGCCCGGCTGCCTTGACCTTGCCGCTGCTGCTCCTCCCTCGCCGGCGTCCCCCGGTGCACTCTCCCCGAGGTACTCGCCCTCCCCCTCCCCCCGGAGCCTCAGACCCTCGCGTTGTCCTTGGTTTTTGTGCTGCAGGCGACTTCTGTGCTGGCTAGGTTTGATCCGTGTTCCTTTGTAAGTGAATTTTTTTCCTTTCGCCCCAGAAAGACTGGCCGGACTGCAGCGTGAGGATGGCTGTGACTTTGGAAGAGGCTCCGTGGCTGGGCTGGATCTTGGTGAAAGCCCTGATGAGGTTTGCCTTCATGGTCGCCAACAACCTGGTTGCCATTCCTTCCTACATCTGCTACGTGATTATCCTGCAGCCGCTTCGCGTGCTGGACAGCAAGCAGTTCTGGTACATTGAAGGAATCATGTACAAATGGCTTTTAGGGATGGTGGCTTCCTGGGGATGGTACGCTGGATACACAGGTGAGAGCTGGGGCTCTGTGGCTGCATGCTTGAGAAAAGACGCCTAATGTTGTGCTTAAATCAGGAGCCATGATCACATATGTGCTGCACTTTGGGTTGAAGATGCTTTTATGCTTTGGCTTTGGAAAAACTAATGGAAAACAATCCGATTGGGTTTTCCCCTCAAGATCTTAATTACGAAGCGTGGTGTTTTCAGAAGTATAATTTCATAACCACATATGACAAATCCCTTAAATAATATGTTTTGAATGCAGTTGATATTCAGTTATTCACACTGGTTTGCAAAAGCTCTCACACAGGAATGAGAGTGTGTTATTTAAGACTTGGGGGCTTACAAGGAGAAGAGATAAGATGTTTAACCCATAAATATAGGGGATTTAGAGAAATGAGCCATGTGTGTGCCAAGATGGTTTATTCAGTTTTTTTTTTCCACTTGATGTGACATTGTGCAGTGTTAACATTTTAAGCCAAGCCAAAAATGGCTTTCTTTTCTGTTACGTCTGTTTCTTTTGTTTTCTAGAACCTATACTTTTCTCTCATAAATCTGAGCATATTAAATTATCTGTTACGCTAATTTACCTTCTGAGTGTCTTTAAGTGGATTTATATTGCTGTTTTTAAGTTGCGCTTTGGGAAGCAGGACTAATGTGGTTCTAAAGTGGACTTTTTTTAGAACTAAATGTAGTTCTATAGTGTTGATTTTCTGTTTATAAAGCTTTTGTGCTTTGAGATCTTAGGCCTCTGCTGTGAAAAGTCTGTATGCTTTATTTTATTTGCTGTACTTTTTTCCTCTAGGAATTAGGATAATGAGAAAAGCACGGGAGTTTCTAGCACTTGTCAGATAGGGAGGCTTTTATCACAGACATTTAGAATTGGTAGGCAGTTCCTTGGGGAATCGGCTGCAGATGCTGTGGTCAGGAGTCTGTAGTTCAGGACTTGGAGGAGCGGAGAGGGTACTCTAAGAGTCGAGCCACACGGCAGTTCTCCATCTTAAATTCTCCATCCCCCTCTTTCCTGCCCAGGCGGCCTTTGCAGATCTTAGCCATAGACATGAGAAAAGAACTGATAGCTAGTGCTCTGCCTTGTGCCAGATGAAGCCTGTTCTCCTTCCAGCAATGTCATTTCTTACTCTGCAAGAGCTGAAGCCCTTAGGATGGTGTATGCATTGCTTCCTTGTCCTGTGTCTTGTTGAGAGTCCAGTGCTCTTTGAGATACAGTAGGTGAGCTTCCAGTCCTTTTTTAGGTCCTGGTAGTACCAGCAGCACTGGTAGAGAAAAAATGAAATTCTATTCTGTGGTGGTACTGGTATCTTTGCTTTGTTCAGTGTAGTTTGAGCCATGTAGCATTAGTGGCTTCATTCTTTCTACAGTATACTTAAGTGTGCTTGCTTTAAATATGCTCATAGCATTTTTAGAAACAGGTCCTGGAAGTTCATAGTGAAATTATTGAGATGTTTGTGCTGGTGTGTTATGTTTATATGTAAGTGTTAGCATGTTGGGAAGGGGAAAATTAGTTTGACATTGACCTTGAGGTTGTAAAGAGTACAGTGGTGCTGCTGGGAGCTGTGGTTGGTTATCCGATGGCCCTTGCATGGCTGCAGTGTATCTTTAAGCATATTTTTGGGGAGGGGTATATCTTTTCCTTGCCGAGTGTAGAACCGTGTGGTTTCTTTTGCCACCTGCTTAGAAAGTGGTCTAAGTTTGATCTGCATAATTTAGTCTCTGAAGCATCTGCCCTTCAGGCTATTGCATTTTGACAATTTGATCAGTTTATCTCTTTTAAATATAGGATATTTTAGTGTATATACTCATATTTTAAGTTGTTTTCCCATAGATAGAATACTTGATTTTAGTGGGTCTGGTCAGAGTGTGATCATAACAGAACACAGCCAAGAGGTCAAACAAAGGTAGGGGTGAATTTTGTTGAAAACTGCAACTGGGTTTAGAGAAATAGAAATATGGAAGAGCATATCTAGCTTTTCTATTGCCGTACATCAGTTGAGCTTACATGGACATGTAAGTTCATTCATGTGTACCTGTGAAAGAATCTCAAGGGATATAGTGGCCTTTCGTTGGGCTATGTATTTTATTTCTTCTCTTTGTGTCAAGAGAAGAGTAGGCTTGTTAAAAAGTTTTTTTTTTTCTTTCCCTATGTCTGGGTTTCACAAATGGAAACTTGCATGTTGCCAAAGGAGTCCACTCAGCAGATTTAGTATGTTCATATTTTTGAAGAAAGATTGCCAAAATTTTGTTGAAAGGCTGATGAGGAAGCCTTAAATATTAATTAGTAGGCTGAAAATCGAGTGCTGGTATAGAATGTCATTTTTTTGTCAAGTGGCATTTGGTGTAAGTCCAGTCAGTTCCCTGGCTCTGGAATTGAGGATGTATGTGGATTACCTAACCTACTACATTGCCCCGTGTGGTAGCCACAGGCTGCAGGAGACCATTTAAATGGAAATGAATGAAAATAAAGCTGAAAATTCAGTTCTTCAGTTACACCAGCCACATTTCCAGGGCTCAGTACTGGGTGGCTAGTGGCCATGGTGTTGGACAGAGCAGATACACAATGCTTCTACCATCACAGACAGAGCTAATAAAAATAGTACGTAGGACTTTCTTCCTTTTTTTTAGGAAAATTATATTTCATCTTTATGAAAAGAACATCTTTCTCTAATTCTAAACAGACTTAGAGAGATGGGAAGATTTATTAATTCTAGAAAGTTGCCTGTTTATTTGAGGCAAATGCTACAAAAATAAGTCCTTTAAACTCAGGCCTGCTTCTTGGATGGGGATTGGCAAGGTCGGGAAGCCCAAGAACATCAGTGAACTTTCTTGTACTTTGCATTTTCCAAGTTAGAGAACTGCCTTGGGACACAAAAGATGGAAAAGAGATTTTCTGGTCCTTCTGCCTGCTTCTTTTTTTTTTTTTTTTTTTTTTTTTAATTTATTTATTTGAAAGGCAGAGCAGCAGAGAACAAGGGAGAGATAGAGACAGACATCTTCCATCTGTTCGTTGACTCCCAAATGATCCCAACAGTCAGGGCTAGGCCAGGCTGAAGCCAGGAACCAGGAACTCTGTCCCGGTCTCCCACATGGGTGTTAGGGGCCACCAAGCTCTTGGGCCATCTTCCACTGCCTCAGCATTTCCACACAGGATGCCGGAGTTGGCAGGCCGCAGCTTAACCTGCTATACTTCAGTACCAGCCCCCATTGACTTTATGTGTTTTCAAGGAAACGCATTTCTTGAAAGAACTCTCAAGACAGTGCTCTGAGGTGGTGATGATTGTTGTTATCATGTTTCCTCTAGTGGGAAGTGCTGTGCAGATACCTCATGTTGGAGAAGTTCCATGCTGCCTTTGCCCTAGTATTTTAAGAGCAAACCAAAAGAGACACTAGCCTAACTAATGATACACTACTGCATGCTTTATTTGCCACTGGTAGAAACCTTCCCCATATAAATGAAGATTGGCAAAGTTCAGAGAGATTTTGTACAAAACACAATGTGGTTTTAAAACATTTTGATTTTCATCCATGTGTTTTAATAAAATCATTATTGTCCAAGCACATTTCATTAAAGCCCTTGTTCATGAAATGCTTTAAAGATACTCACTGTAAATGGATGCTCCAGAATTTCTATACAGGATGAGAGTCTTATGGACCAGAGTCAGGCTGAACAGGAACCAGGTGCCAGAAGACTTGCTGCCAAGCTGTTTTTGCTTAGCAAACCTTGTTTTCCTTAGATCAAGTGTTTACTTGGGGTAGCTTAAGAGAAAGCTGATGGAGATGAGGTTTGGCTTCTTCCTACTCCTCAAGTGACAGCTGCCATGATTGTATGTTAATTTTTTGCTTTATTTGATAGTATTTTACATTTTTTATTGAGATATGGATTTGTTGTGTAAGAAATTTTTAGGATTTGTTTCTGACCTTGAAATTCTAGAGAAAATTTTAAAAACATATCTTTTATAGCAGTATTTCTTTTACTTATTTATTTAAAAGGCACAGAGACAGAGATAGCTAGAGATCTTCCATCTGCTAGTTCACTCCCTAAATGCCCACAACAGCCAGAGGTGGGCCAGGCCAAACTTGTGAGCTCAGTCCAGATCTCCCACATGGGTGGCAGGGACCCTACTACGTGAGTTATCACCTGCTGCATTCTGAGACGCATATTCCCAGGAGCTGGAAGTGAATGTGGGATTTGGTGTCCCAAGTGGCCTCTTAACTGCTATACCAAAAGCTTATCCCTAGAGTAGTATTCTTTAACCTTTGAGTCATAAAACCAATTTAGTGTGTTAAGATGCACGTTTAGGCCGGTGCCGTGGCTCAATAGGCTAATCCTCTGCCTTGCGGCGCCAGCACACCAGGTTCTAGTCCCGGTCGGGGCGCCGGATTCTGTCCGGGTTGCCCCTCTTCCAGGCCAGCTCTCTGCTGTGGCCAGGGAGTGCAGTGGAGGATGGCCCTAGTGCTTGGGCCCTGCACCCCATGGGAGACCAGGAGAAGCACCTGGCTCCTGCCATCGGATCAGCGCAGTGCGCCGGCTGCAGCGCGCCTGCCGCGGCGGCCATTGGAGGGTGAACCAACGGCAAAGGAAGACCTTTCTCTCCGTCTCTCTCTCTCTCTCTCTCACTGTCCACTCTGCCTGTCAAAAAAAAAAAAAAAAAAAAAGAAAAAAGAAAAAGAAAAAGAAAAGATGCCCGTTTAAAGAAGGTGGAATAGGGATGGGCATCCTGCATCAGAGCGCCTGGGTTTGAGTCCCAGCCTCATTCCCAGTTCCAGCTTCTTGCTGAGGAGATCCAGCCCCGCCGTTACAGGCGCTCGGTGGAGTGAACCAGTGTGTGAGTTCTCTCTGTCTTCGTCTGTCTCATAAATAAGAAGTGAAATAGAATAGAATTAAGTAGAAAATACCAGAAATGCATGTGTCTGTATTAAGTGGTGCTACAAATGTGTTTTTCTCCCCTCTGAGTGCAGTAAGCAGTTGAAAGGCATTGTTTTAGAGGAAAGAGCA